GGGGGCAAGTCCGTGGGGGCCACCGCAGCACGCACACGCGCCCATGCACGCACACACGCGCGCGCGGGCGCGCTCACACACAGTCGCTTGCATGCACGCGCCCGCGAGTGCGTCCGCACGTCCCGTCCAACCCCCCCGCGCCCGCGCCCGCGCGCACACGCTCATGCAGCAGTGCACGGAGACACGCGGCGGGGGTGTGGTGCGACACAGGGACACGCCCCCACCCCACTCCCCCCCCCCTCTCTCACACACACGCACTCACGGCCCTCGGCAGGCGGGCACGCACACTAACACAGTCAACAGGCGCAGCCCTCATCGGCCCCACAGCCCTAGGGCCGGGGCCCTACGGGGCACAGCCCAGCTCACCTTCGCAGCTGTAGCCCTGCCCGATGAGACCCCACAGCATGTCCCCGCAGTGGTGGCAGTAGGTCGGCCTGTGGTACGTCTTCTTGGTGAAGCTGTGCCCGAGGCCGTTGGGCCCCTGGCCGGGCCCCAGGCCCTGCCCCGGGCCGGGGCCGGGGCCGCTGCTGGCTGGGGCCGTGGCCGCGGCGTCGAGCAGCGCGGCGGACGCCATCATCCCAGGCGCAGCTCGGCTCCGAGCGCGACCGTCGCCTGCGCGGCTGCGCGCCACGACTTCACCGTGCTATCGCGACCATATCACATGTCTAGGTGATCTCGGAACCGAACGCGAACATGGTAGCGCCTGAGGGAGCCCCTGCAGCCCGTGAGCGAGAGGCGGCCCCTGGGGCAGCCCGTGAGGCAGCCAGTGAGGCAGCCCCTGCAGCTCACATGGCACGGACACGGCGGGGGGGGCATTGCCTCATCACTCGCCCAGGGATCACTCCGCCTGCTCCGCCTGCTGCGCCTCCGCGCATCGCATGAGGGGGTCGAGACCCGCACGGCACCGCGGCTCCGCTCCGCGCTCCGCTCCGAGCAGACGAGACGCCCAAGCGCCACTAGAGCACTAGGCCCGCCCCGCTCCGCGCCCCGCCGCGCCCCGCCGCCTCGCCCCTCAGGCTGCGGCAAGCCCTGCCTGCCCTGCCA